CTACTACTACTCTCTCTCTCTCTCTCTCTCTCTCTCTCTCTCTCTCTCTCTCTCTCTCTCTCTCTCTTGGTCACTATTTAACTTGTGAATTATCACACATCTCTGCCAATATTTTGGCGTGTTAACACGAAATAATCTCCAAACGCGAAATTATAGATATACTCTGGCTGTCAGCTCGATAAAGTTGTATAGATTTAATCTGTCTTCCCCGATGAAAGCTGCTACTTATTGTTAGTCGCGGTGCACATAGATATAATGTTCGCCATACGGTCGCAGCATCCGGAGTTGCAAGTTTCTTGCCGGTTAGCTATTTGTGCTGAAAAGGAGGACGGCAAGGCCAGGGATTGCGCAAAACCGTTCGTCGGCAGGATCTAGCGGCCGCCGTTCCTCTCTCGCTCTTTCGCCTCGGAGGAGTCTGGAGACCGCTCGCCAAAAACGAATCCCGTACATAACGTGCAACTCGAGCGATTCCGTCGTTCGAAACGCCGCGTACAAAATGCAACGGCCCTTCCTCGCGCTTTACCGCATGAATTTAAAGCGCGCTCCCGCACGGTCGTCGCTATCGGAACGCCGAGGTAATATTCAAGCGCGGTAAATATTGCATGGCGGAAAGTGCACGATGTGAATTAACGTCAACCGCACGCTGGTTGTTCTTTCTTTTAATTATTAAAGATATTTCGCGACTGCGCCCGCGGCGTTTTTGCATGAAAAATAAAGGTGAAAGAGCGCGTATTAAAAAAAAAAAAGAGTCGCGCGGTCTACATGGTGGATTACTCGTCTCTCTCTCCCGGTTTTCGATTCGTGTCCAAGCGTGCCGAGGTTTAAATGCGTTTTAAAATTTCACAGCGAAGGTGTGTAAACAGTCCATAATGTCTCAAACGATTCTAGACATCGCCTTTTATCTCCCGGTCCTCTTGTTATTCTGCTCGCTCGCCCGCTCGTCGCGGCCGTTCGCTCGTCCATTCGTTATTTCGTGAATAAATAATCGAGCGAGCGTGCGCGCGAAAGACTGATGAAAATTTCAATCGATGGCTTTTCACCCGTCCACTACTTCAAAATTATTCATTGATCGTCCGCTCTAACCTGCGTCCCCTCTCCTCCGATCTTTTCCGCGTCACGATACTCCCGACAATGATGCTTCCAACAGAAGAAATCCCTCTCTATTGTTTAAACGTGTTACAAAAAAAAGAGTCATACAATTCTAGACGAGGAAACGTCGATGAAGGCTTTATTCGGTTCCTTGAATATTGAAAAAGGTCTTAAATCTCTTGGTTCCTTGATTTCTCGACGCAGTTCTTTTCGAAATATTGTACAATAATTTTTGAAGAATAAAATACAACACAATATATGCAAACTTACGATACAATAAACATTCCAGTTGTTGAAGAATAATTTTCCTTCACAATTTAATTTACTTACGTGTGCATCGGGAAATGACAAATCTAGCAGGCGCTTATTCGAGAGAGTGTGCGAGAGAAAGCCCAGTGAAAGCAAGATAAGGACAGAAGAGAACGGGGGAGAGAGCCGACTGCGAATTTCCATCGTGTCACGTAGCACCTAATCTAGGTCAACGGAATTGAATTTAGAACCCAGCCAGTTACCGTAGTTATACACCGTTCTGTAGGTTCAGCGCCGCCTCTTTGTCGCGCAACGTTTCCGGGTTCACGGCGAGAAAGATGCGGTCTGTCTTGGATCTGCTAGGTCGCGGTTGGACCAGAAAACGAGAGAATTTCCCGCTTTAAATTAACTGTATAATTGTTTACGCGGAAAAGCGTAATACGTGTGACCCAGCCATGCGTGATAGTGGATACATGTCCACGAATATCCGTTGAGTCCAAGGATAAATAGCACACTAATACTACTACCATTAATACTGTCTTATTGTTACCGTAATACTTTGTTTACTATTGCTCTGATATTATACGAAACAATCTTGTATAACAGCCGTTATTATATTATTATAAATAAATCATAAAACACACAATATTAAATAATGCTGAAGATTAAATAAAATTTGATGTTTTTGTCGTATTTTTGGATTAAATCTCAATATTATTACGTATATTTATAATTATTATATTTTTCTAAAAAAAAAAACAAGCAAAACACAGTTACACGGCATCTTATCTTACACTCCTATCTTTATTTTTAGACTTATCCGAAACTAAATTTATACTAAATTCTGCAGACCTTATAACCATAAAATCGAACGGTCTACAGCAGAAAGAGAGTAGAACGAGACTAATACCGCTAATATCTCGCCGATGTAGTGGTACGTAACGGGACTTAAGAGCTGATACGCCCTTTATCTTCGAAGCGAGTAAACGAGCAAGCGAGCGAGCGAGCGAGCGCGAGAATCATCTTCACGACGGAGCTAGCATCTTGCTTGTCTCGCTTCCGTTCGTTTCCTTATGAGAACTCGACACACACACACACACACACACACACAGTGTAAAATCGCGATCCTTCTCGCTCTCTTTCCCTCCCTCTTTTTCTCTTTATCGCCTCTCTCCTTTCCGCTCGTAACATTCCCGCATACGCAAAGACGTATACAATGTACGCGCGTCCGACGTACACTTCCTCGTTCCCCCGTGCGATGATAGCGCAGGCCGAGCCGAGCTCGACACATCTTCCTTCTTCGCGCATTTACAGAGCAGAGAATTCCGGGAGCGTAACGCTCTCCACGTCGGCAGCCCGGGCAGGAAATAATAGTCGAGTGATAGAGTCGAGCGCAGGGAATTTTTATGGCTAAATCGATGTTGCACGCGCGGCGCGGGTCGCGGCTCGCGAGAGCGATAAAGAACGTCGCGTTATAAGGAGCGAGTAGTAGAAGACGGAGAATGAGAGAGAGAGAAAGAGAGAGTCTTCTAGGGAGGAGGAAGGAGAGAGAGAAACAGTGAGACAAGAGGAGCAAAGGGCGCTAGAAATCTGGGGCGGGGATAGATCCGGGCTTTTGCGCTCTTCACGCGACCTTGAATGCCAGCCAGCCTAGACCTTGCCTTTGCTCTTTCACTCGCTCACTCGCTCACTCGCCTGTTCGTTCGTTCGCTTACTCCTAGTCCAGAAAGGCCATGCGGCTGTTGTTTTAAACAACACAGCTCGAGATGGAACCTCTCGCTTGCTTGCGATCGCGGCCTTCGCCGTCTCGCTCTTCCGCGTTTCGATTACGTAAAGAGATCGCAGCAGAACGGTGCAGGCCTTCGTTTACTGGCGTTCAAAGGACACCAGGCTGGATCTGTGTTCTTCACTATCCATAATTATCAAAGCGCAGATTATACGAATGGTAAAACGGCACCAACTAGCGAGCGGAATGCACACATTGTCTCTTTGCATTACTTTATGACGAAACAAATCTCTATAGAGTACCGCGCCCGTAAGATTTATTTCAGATATTGTTTCATAAATGACGATTCGATAACAATTTTTTAGTATTTTATGATAATTCGCACCTGCTTTCAAAGATAGATCTTGTCCGGAGAAAATTGATTCGCTAGCAATAGCCGTTGATCGTAAATTCAATCTAAAAGTTTCTTCAGAATTGCGAAACGGAACACGCCTTGAAGGCAGCGAAAGCGACTGAAGTTCGCGCGGAATGCGCCAATAACGTGAAATCGATCAATAACGGTGAGATGCAATCAATAGGTAAAAAATCGAGTATTTGGTCACTGCGATATTAATGACGCAAAAATTCATACATACATTCTGCGGTTTTTAGAGTGCGAAATGTCTTGACTGCACATTTCTATCCGGCATACCGACGTTAATTTCGATCGACACGCGGCAAAAGCGCAACGTTGCGTGGCAGAGAGTTGAGGCCGAACCGATATCGCGGAAGAAGAAGAAGAAGAAGAAGAAGGCGGAAAGCATCCCGGCGCGACTTCGCGAATCTGCTGTTCGCTGGAGCGATTGCCCGACGGGTGGGATCATAACGGACCTCCAGGCCGCCGACCGGGCCGCGCCTAGACCAGGCGGATATAGCCGACATAGTGCATAGCTCGCTCTTTATCTATCTACCTACCTATCTTTTTACATTTTTGGCAAAGTCACGCAACACCCACGGCAACAGTGGCGACTGAATCGCAGCGGCATCTGTGTGCCCGGACTATCGTGTAGTTCAGTCGCACGATTGTCTTCCGACACGGTATGTATGCGTTCGCTTGGTTCGCGCGAAACGAAGTGAATTGCTTCAATCGCTCGCCAGGCAGCAGCAGTCGTCTTGATTGTCGAAACTCTATTGGAATCGGAAACTGATCCGCCAGGTTATTTCAAAATGATTGAGAGAATGAATCATAGAAAAGATATATAGGAGATGAGGTCCTACAACTAGCATAAAAGAAACGAACTATTTTACAAAAATGTGAATAATCTCTCACAATCAGCCAAATCGGATTTGAAATGTATATTATATAAATTTTTATTATTACGAGTAAGTATGTTAATTACTTCTGCTTACGTATATACTGTATGCAAATCGACCAATCATAGCCGAGCATTCTTGAAAATTTTTATTTCAGCTTATTGTTTTCTATTTCACTGCCTACACTATTTTATATTCTATGATATCACAAAGTAGTTATGAATGTATCAAAGTAAAAATCTGATTTCGAAATTCAGGTATTTATAATCTAGATTTTTATAATTAATCGCGATAAGTGCAGAATTAAACTTATAGAATTTCTTATAATTCTTATCGATCGACCGACATAGTGATTGTTTATTTTATACGCACTAATGAAATTGCTAAATGATATCTTGCTAAAAATATTGAGGCGAATAGCGAGGTAAAAGTATAGAGGTAAATTTAATTTGTGCAGCTCTCTTTGAATTTTAAAGATAAAAACAACAGATTAAAAATATATTTCTATTTTCACCAAATAAACATCTAAAATATATATGCGCGATAAATAATAATGGAAGTCTAAAGATTCACTTCATGATTATTTATTGTAATTTTTAAATTTATAATATTCTTAATATAAAACCATAAAGAATATGTACTATCGTTTAATTGTTGATTGCAGATTGGCTCTAGTAATGATCCGCTAAAATTAAAAAATTCTCTCTCTCTAGTTGAGCGAAGTATATATATATATATATATAAAAGAATCGATTAGCCCAAAGATACATGGGGTTATGTTGGCAAGTGCTCTCAAGGATGGATAGTGGCGTTAGTTGTCAGTTTAAACGTGTTTGAATGTGTCGCTTCTTTATTATTGCCTGAGTGTATAAGATGAATAATTCGCCGAACATTCTGAGATCGTGGTGGTAAATCACTAACAGTCTAAAGGATAAGTAAACACATTGGGACAATGCCGCGCAGCAGTAAAACGATGATGAACAACAGCAAATTGCCATGCTACAGTGTACCGAGTACAAAACTAAAGAATGTGATATGTGTCGCTTGCAAAAACATGTTTCGTATACCAGGTAATTCATAAGCACAGCTTTTTATAACAATGATATCGTATGCATGAATATTCGCTGCTATCACACACACCGGCATCAATTAAAATATTGACATTACACTAAAAGTATTCATCACATCAGTATAATATGATCAAATTATTCTTTTATCAATATGTATAAACGTGACCGGACATATAAAAAACTCGACAGTATTTTATTCGAAAATATACTGTAAACAAAGAACGGTCGCAAAAGAGAGGTTAGGATTCCTAACCCGGCCGGTTGTAGATGAATAAAGTATACTGCATCATTGTGATATATATTTAAGTATAAATGATAATGAATCGATATGTTTATGTGACAACCTTATATAGATCATCGCAAATACATGTGCTGTATAAAATTTTTTATTAGCTGCAGTATATTGTACTTTCTATGCTGAAAACAAAATTAATGTACAATAAAATGTTGAAAAAAATAGGAAAAGTACAAGAAATAGTAGAGTAGATTTACATTTATAGACTGTTTAGATGCAGCATTCATGTATCTTTTTGTCACTCATATACAGCTTATAAATTTTATGAAGAGATGCTAGTAATTCACTTATTTTTATATCTTTTGAACTTATTCAACATTTTTTATGTTTCAATATAAACTGTGTCTTGCAGGATATATAGGGATTATTTGTGCAAATAATGAAATTTTGACTGAAATAAATATATAATCTTTATTACGTCAGCTATTGCCAAGAAGAGAATTGACTGAAATAAATATTACACAGAATATTTGGAAAATTTTATATTTTATAATTTTTATCTTAGCTTATATCTTAATAAACTAAAATTTTTTAAATCTTTCTTTTCTACTTTTAATAAGATACACTGTAGAGTTACTACTTTTGACTTTTCACTGCAGTGATATTAAATTATAAAGTGAGAAATGAAAGCTCTTCATTGTATATATTAAAATGAATTAATTTTCTCATATTCTACTATTTGCATTTGTTAAATTGATAAAATATATTGAAACATGCCACATTATAACCTTTTATTTGTTTTCTCACTCTAAATTAGTTGTAAAACTGTATAAAATTTTTATTTTGCACATGAATCATTAGAATAAAAGTGAAGATTGAGGAAAGGAATAGATGATGTGCTTAATCTTAATGAATTAAAACGAGAGAAATTCTATTGTAAATAACTTATTAGATCAAAATAGATTTTATTAAAATTGTTACAGATATATTGAATCTAAATGGCTTAATACTAAAAGGACATAACATACCTCTGTTATTGGACTGCGGACATCCAATATGTAATAAATGTATCCAAACTGCGAAACTTGTAAATTGTCCTGATTGTAATGAAGCCATAGTTAACCATGATAACAATCAGAAATCCTTGTTTCCATTGAATTTGTATACACTGGGTCGTATTGTTTCTTCTTATCATAATCTGTTAGAAAATGAAGATGAAGAGTTTCAATTCTGTCATAAATTATCTGCACAGATGCGTAATATAATAAAACAAGGTTAGAAAACCAGCACATTGTTAGACGAAATACATTGATTTTTGTAAATGAAATAAAGACTTAATGTTTAATGCTTTTAGGATGTTGCTACGAATGTGGAAACAAAGTCAATGTGAAATGTATTCAATGTACGGCTCTCTATTGCCATTACTGCTACGCAAAAGTAAATTAATATTTTATACAGAAATGTTTATAACTTAGTGAATTGTATTTATAATATGTTATATGCTTCTGTTCTTTATTTTGTAGATTCATGGAAGGGCATTACAAAATCACATACAAATTCCAATATTTGATGGTGATCCCAATAGTCCAGCTGCCATGTTAAATAGCTGTTCACCCACATGTACTGAAACATTAAGCTATTTTTGTAATAACTGTAACGTGGCATCTTGTTCAACTTGCATTTTACGCTTCCACAAAGTGCATAAATTTGTGCCTTTATCAGAAAAGGTTAGTAGCATTAGATTATGATTCACACTGAACGCAATGTCGATTAATCTATAGAATTTTTATAATTACATAAAGTATTTTACAAACATCTATCTTTACGAGATATCTAATTATTAACAACGTTATGTGCAGATATTGAATTTTTATAATGTATGTTTGAGTTTTTGTTTCATGTAAGAAAAATTGATTACCACATTACCACAAGAAACTTATATTGATGGGTATTATTTACAGAATGAGACTCTGTTACCCGAGTTCAACGAGGTCTGCAAGCACATTGAAGATACTCTGCTGCGAGTTGCCCAGACAAGTGAGGTAAGTGTGTATTCCTATTAAACATTTTTACTGGCGAGGAACTTATTTGTTGCAATTACACCACAAAGTGGATATATTGGGAAATGATAAATAAATAAATTTATTAACATTATTAACAAAATATTAAGTACATATAGAAAAAATAACGCATTTAGCGATATCTAGTTTGAATATATCGCATGATCTTTTAACGATTTTTAATGAAATATCAGCAAATTATTCTGGTTATATTGTCGCACATATATAATAGTATTTTAAATGTAAAAAAACATTAAATATTTTATCAGTATGCATATTTCACATAACGTTTGAAATAGAATGGTTATTTACGAACAAATGGCGAAACTTAGTCGATTTTTCTACGATTTGAGCACAAGGTATGAGTGATAATATTAATTATATTTCTCAGCGCATAGTACTTTTATAAATATTATTTCTGTTATTTTCGGTTTGATGTATAAAAGTTGCGCAGTTTGACATTGCACATAGTTATGGAAATATTGAATTTAGCATCATAAATAACTATCATTGCAGATGACAAATGCTTATTTTTTGTTGAATATCCTAAATCCCGCACTAAGGATTCTATGACTTAAAGACTCATTATTAGTGGGACTAAGGCATTTATAAGATTAATAAGTGCTTGTCATATGCATCAAAAGTTATATATAATTTAACCAGACTATATCTAAACGATTTTGTCAAATAAACAGAAAAAGATAATGCTCTGTGAAGTGGACGAGCATTTTTGGTTATAAATAGTATATAATAGGCATATATATGACTAGAGAGAGTACAAAAAATACTAAACATCATCAGCCATTTTATACCCGTAAATAGACCGTGATATAATCTAACTTATACTTATTTGATCTTCTCTATCGTTGAATCACGTATTACTCTATCATATACATATTGCACTTTCCCGAGATTGCAAAGTTTTTTGCATATTGCATCTTACAACCCACGATAGATTCTTGCTGTTTATATAATGGCAACGAATCACTTATAGCATATTTTACGTTATGACTAAGTTTCTTAACACAACGCTTTAATTATACTTTTATTCTTCATCGTCCTCCGTTTGAGACTTGCCCTTGTGCTTGTCTTTTCCCTCTTGCTGTTTCTTCAGTTTTTTTTCCTTAAGTTTTGCCTCCATCTCTTTAAATTTGAGTTCTAAGTATCGATCCACTTCCGGGCCGGTAAAATCCTCGGGAAACTTTGGCATAATCGGCAAGATGTATTTGTACAGCCGTTCGTTTAACACGTATAGCTGAGTAGTCGTTTCGCACTTTACATTGAACCACCAATCGCAGGTCAATGCTATCTGACTAAATATCGTGCCGTTTGGACATAAGAACGACGATTTGCCACCATTGAGATCGCAATAATGCCATACCTGAGAATGAAATTATCGTTATCGATTAAAAAATCTCTTTTTTTTTTTTGGATAATACAAAATTATGTGCATTAGAACGTATGTTTTATATCAGTTTGTATAAGAAAAGAATGAAGAATCATGAAGAAAAGAAACACCAAACTTATTGTTCCACTAGATTGCTTTCAGAACGCGGGAAAATTCACAAAAATTTAAAAAATATATAAACTATAATATTTTCGTTATACTCACTTGGCATCTAGTCGCTGGATCGCCGAAGAATCCTTTGTATCTTTGATTTTTGCAACTAAAATCGGTTTCCGGTATAATCGCATACGCCGGATAGTCCACGTTAGGTTTCCCGCGCGTAGCACCGTATTTTAAGGACGATTGCGGCGTTTTTGTGTCCGGGTGCGTAAGCTCGTTCGGTGCAACGTATTCGTGACTTATGGATGCCTCGGTAGAAATGGGCAAGGTATATCGTTCGTCGTGTAGGATGTCGTCGCTAAGATCCTCCGTGATCTGGTAGGAGTGTCCAGTGGCTTTGTCAGGTATGGAGGTTGGTCTAAATTCTTGCTTGGGGCTGTTCGAGATGTCCTGAATGTAGGGAATGTAATACTCCACTTTTTCATTTTTCACTTGGTTTGCATTGTAATCCGATTGTAACGGTACTTTGATTTGAATATTGTCATGCGTCGCTTTGTGTCGTTCAGGATCATCGGTGAATATTAAAGGGTTTGGCGTCGCCTGGAATCTCGTCTCGGTGACTACTTTCGGCTGCGTATACGTTTTCGGTTTGTAGCCGTCGTAACCGGCTAATCTGGACGGCGGCACCGACGGCAACCTTTGCGACTGCGGAAAGTCCTCCTGTCGCGAATTGTGCAGAATGTTGAGGATCTCCACGAGCATTTTTATGCTGCTGTCAATGTTATCTTTGTTCAGCATTTCCGGCAGTCGTTCGGATAGCTGAAAGCTCTCAATTATATTGTTCAGATTTACATTTGGCTTTCGATAGATCTGCGAGATGGTGGACTGTTTCACCGACTGGTGTTGCACATTCGGCGACGGAATGTATCTTAGACCCGAGAATTCTTTATTAGAGTAGTTAACGACGGCGTTTGGCGGTCTCGCCGCGTAATCCTGATCGTAATCGTCCTGCGGGTTGCCAGCCAACGGCTTTTTGATCAAATGCTGCTCCCTCATGAATGTGGAAGGTCGCAGCGGTCTCGAACCGGCGAAGAATCGATTTTCCTTATGCAGGATTTGACTGGGAGCCGTGGTGATCTCGGGATAGATTTTTTGCTCCCGATAGAGCTCGTAGGGTGGTGCGGAATAGTCGGCGTAATTGATCTTGGTGTTATATTTGATCGGTGTGAAATATTCATTGTCGCCGCCGATGTTTTTAGGATCATATTGCACGGATGGAATGAACTTCTTGTCCTGGCCGGGCGAATTGATTCGGTGTTTGCCGTTACCTCGCCTCGGTGCGCCACTGAGCCGGATCAAAGTGTGCTGCTGCGGCGCGGGTTTCTGCAGCAGAACGCCCGATAGTTCACCCGCGTAGTTTTGTGACAACGCAGTCTGAGTGGACAAGTAGTTGTTGGCCACGTAGAGATTCATGTAGGGTATCAATCTGCGATATCTCTCCTTGAATGTCGTCAGATTCATGCTCGTTAGTAGCTCTTCCCCATTGTCTTCCAACGTAGCGCCGCTCTCGTTTGTCTCTGCCGGCTCCGATACTCCGAAACTTTGCGTCAAAAGAACTGCAATCGGAAAGAATTGATTTTATTGTCACTGTTATTTTACAATGTACTAGGAATAATTTTGTAAAATGAATGTGCCTAGTATACAGGACCGTGCAAAGAGGGGGGAGGGGGGGTGCACAGCATGCACCGCACCAGAGGCCTCGAAGTTTCACTTAAATATATCTATTTTTTATTGTTTTTATCTAAATTAATCTCTATCCAATTTAATTTGCACGTGCAAATGATGTTCATTTATATTTATAAATTATAAATTTATATATGTTGTATATATTTACATTTTACAGAACTGTTTGTTTTGTACAATTTGATTAAAATTCTACTTTTTTTTTAAATGTACACGTTTATAAATAAATTTAATTTTAATTATACTGTTTTGTTATATTTTCTAAATCTCTTAAAGCTTTTTTAGTACGAAATTTATGAACAAGTAGGAGGGGGGCATCTTTACCTTTGCACTAGGGCCCCAAAAACTCTTTGCACGACCCTGCTAGTATACACGCGATACTAGATTTTTATCGAAAAAAGATATGGTGCTAATTAATTAGGACCATTCAAAATTAGATCCGCGATTACGAATTCTCGAGATTTTTATCTTGCGGTCGCAGTTGCATGAGGAGAGGAAGAGGCGCGGAAGAATGCGAGGAGAGAATGATAACGCGATATGTCTGAAACGTTCCGTACGGTCGACAAAGACGAATCGTGGGTAGATGGAACGGCACGATGGTTGAAGGTTGAGTCGAGGATAGGGTTTGCGGCGGAGTGGATTGGTACGTTTTTAGTGACTGCACCGCCCGAACGTGCCAGCGCAAACATACCCTTTGCCACACGCACGCAGCCTTTATTCCTGCTATCTCGCTGCACGTACAAAAGAGCTGACCGGCTCTCCGAATATTTTCCTTCTAATTTAATTTCGTCCAATACGCGGAGCGCAGTACATACGCGTTATCTTGTATATCTCGCGGAGGCGGGAGATTGAGATGCGGGTGTATCATGCTCGTGTATGCGCGCGACTATAACGATACGCGGTGGCTTTTTGAGAGGTCGATTAAAAGTGTATTTTACGTGAAGCGCTGGGATTCATAGAGGGGAATTATGTCTGTCTCGCGCGCCTTCCTGTAGACAACTCGTCCAGCGGCAGTGAAATCCCCTTGGAATCTAAAATCCGCGATGTCCATAGGATTATAGTCTATAGGATTTCTCGCATCTCTTTTCTTACATTTATTTGCGAATAAATAAATTATTCCGTTTATATAGCAGTTAAATTTTATATATAAACGTCGTAGAGAGGGATTCTTTCCCCATTTTTTCTACGCGCCTTCCGCTAGACAATCCATTCAGCAGCGATAAAGTCGTTTGAAAGTCTTAAAATCCGCGACGTTAATAGATAGGATTATTCCCTATTATTTTTATTTACTGAATAATAATTTATGAAATATTGAACTTTATATATGAAGCATTCTAAAAACGCGTACATTATCAAAGCTAACAATAGGGGCCATTTATCTACCGTACAGCGCGTTGCCCGTTCACCCGTGGGAACAATTGGTCTATGTGATATCGCTATCTTAGTTTATAACGTATTACGTATATATTGTTTCTGTTTCGATAATTTTATCACGGTTCAATCTACGAATGTATTTAGCAACATTAAAGAAGTAATGACATCGAATTTTTTAACGACAATATTTATTCATTATCTGTATTTTAAAATTATTATATTTTTCTGATGCACGCAGATTGTTTTTGAAGTCAGTTTTATTTTTTTTCCCCTCCGAGAAACTTTGAATTAATTGCTGAACGATAGGAAAACGAATGAACGAATCGCACGTTACACGACTTACTTGAGTGACGTCCGTTTTTGTTACACCTTACAGATATTTGCTTTGCAAATATATCTTGGGACACTTTTTAATTTGCGAGATCTCGTTATACCGTCGTCTGGCTATTACGGTCGCGAAAGGGATGCGAGGGTGTGGAATAGTGGAGAGAAACGTGTGGTCCGAGTGGTGCCGGATATAAACCCGCCTCACTAGACTCGCCATGAATTTTTATAAACCGATTATTTAGCGTCGATGTAACAAAGTGCAGCGCGCCCGCTGAAAGAGCGTCGCGGCGCACCGACCCAGCGGCGCACATCAAAGGGACGCATATCCCGACCCCATATTTCTATCTCTCTCTCTCTCTCTCTCCGTCTCCCTCGTGGGTTACATACAGTTATACACACCGGCACCGACCTGGAAATTCAATTCGATTCTGCATGAAATGAGTCTGGAAACTCTGCTCGCATTGCGGTGCGACGGGGCGCGGCCCGGCGCGCTTTATTAATCCTGTCAGCGCGAAACGTGATTGAAAAATTCGCAAAGCGCGTACGCGCGGGTCTCTAAGAGGCGCTCGTCTTGAAAATTTTCAAAGCGCATCACATCATTCGTAGAATGCATTTTCCGTGTCTGCATACAAAGAGATACGAGTGCGGACGCTTCTCCGGTGCCGTTTCGATTTTTCGCGCGACTCCGCTCCGGGACGCGCCGCGTCTAAGTCGCGAATCAAAGGGAATCTCGTTTACGTTTCGCAAATTGAATCGCTTGTGTTGGGGGAGCACGATTTCACGTTGTTATGTCGAATGCTTAACTTTAAAAAGAGCATCATCGCTGAAGAACTGCGTCGATTACATCAGAGCTAATAATCATAATGCAAAGATGAATGAACAACGTCTGACATTGCTTTAGAGATTAATTCTTGCCTCCCAACACGGGTCGAAGGAATCGAACGACGCGAAGGACCTTTCACTTCTACTGTCTGCCACAACAAAAAACAATTATATCTCGAATTGGATCTCAGCCAGACGGAAACGATGAGACTGCTTCCTTCTTCCCAGTCATTGTCGATAGTCTCTCTCTCTCTCTCTTTCTCCGTTTGTCTTTCTCTCTTCCTCTCTCTCGCTCTGCCCTCCCTTGTGTCGCCGCGGCGTCTGCTCGACTGGCGAAATTCTAACTCGGATTCTAACTGGAGCCGCGTTGCGTAGTGCCCAATGTACTATGCCAAAGTGCGATGCCTCAGCAGTAGGATCCATCCTGTATTGGTCCATCGGTAACCCGATACGGAATATTAATTGGCAGGTATTGGTTTCCCGAATTACGTTATTTTGAACGCGCGTGACCTGGAAGTTTGACAGACGCGACAAAAAAGAGAGAGAGAGAGAACTACGAAATATAGATGCGCCCAGAATACGGGCGTATTCGCTTTCGGTGAACGCTATCAATGTCCTTTTGTTGCTCGAATATCAAAAAATTCTAGAAATTAATTACACAAGAATTCGCGCAATTTTGAATACGCGAAGTTTAATTAATTTTCAATGAATTGCGTATATATGTATGTCGAAGCGGGGCGAAGCGAGTCTATTTCCGCGGCATGCCGCCTAACGGACATACGCGCTCCCTCGCTCGTCTCTGCAGCATGCGACACCCGTAATGTGGAACACCGTGTTCAGCAAAAAATAACTGCTACGAATAATTGATGCTCGACAGCGCGGGCGTGGAATCGTCGGAGTTCCTAATCGTGCGTGGCTGAAATTACTGTGACCCGTCACTTTATTTATTGCATATGCGCGAGACAAAGGGCCCGTCGCGACGAGGGGCACGACATGCGCCGAAAAATAAAGCCATTTTTCATTCTTGGCCGCGAGGACGAAAATTTTTAATGAGTGAAATATCGCGACTCCCACTCGACGCCGGAGAAGCATGGTGTTACGCGAAAGGCTCGGAATCGAAATACACAGCTTCGAGACTTGCGCTGGTATTACTGAATTTATAGCCGTGTAGTTTATTAGAACAATTTGGTGTAACAGCTGAATTGTGATCTGAATATATAGAGAAAAAAAAACGGTCTATTTTATTATCCATAAAATTTGATCTTTTATTTAGAGACCACGTTTGTGTTTTGAGCTCTATAACGATTTATAATTTATAATTTTCTTTGCGGAGAATCTCGCGTTTTTAAAAATCGCGCTTTAACACATTCCTCTTTTCTCCAACAGAATCGTACAAGATTGCGACATGATTGCGTGTATAATTCCTGTATCATTTATTATCTTAACATCGAATCCGTCGTTTTTATCGATGCATACTTTTGATTATTCTTTATACTATGAAGATTATGAGTGAATGTCTCGTTTCGAAGCGAAGCGAAAGGAAACATTCGTTTTATTCCCGTGATACGGACGTGTACGCACGTAACGAAGGTAATTATACGCACGCGATACCGAAGCGAAATCGCGATAGCTCGGTCGGTCGCCTCCGATCTCCCGGCTCATCTCGCGAAATCGTCAATAATCGTAATTGCGAGCCGAACATGCGCGTGTGCATCGAGGCGAGCGAAAAGGAGGAACACACGTATCACGGAACGTCGATCCATAAACGCGGAACAGATGAGAGAAAAGTCCGTCAAATGATGCCCTTTTAAAGACAATCGTGTGTATCGATGAGTAGATCGCAACGGATGAAACCGTCAAAGGATGAATTTTTCTTTTAAATCCTTTGTACAAGTAAATTTTTTATATTTGTGAAGATTTTACAGCAAAGAATAAATATCAGCATCTCAAAAATATACTGTGTTAAATCACATTTTGTCGAAAATTCAGTTATCACAAGATTCTAATTTTTATCCAATGGCAAACAGTCCTTTAGCCGCTAAGAGTTCTATTTTTCGAAACTGACTTTGATACCGATTTTCAAGAAATTAATCTTAAGAAAAATCGCAAATATCTTTAAATTATGTTAAATGCTGATATAGACAAAGTATTGCGACAAGATGTGTAACATTGGCAAAGCAGACAACTTTAAATCTCTGAATTTAAATTTTAGATAAATTAGTGCCACAGAACTTAGTTTTCAATTTTCAACGTAAAACGTTGTATAGCACGATATAATATGGCACACTTTTCGCTGCGGGAGCAGCGTTTTCTTGCGGCGGAATGTTTTCCGTACAGTCGTATCTTGCGG